ACTCACGCAATTCTCATGTGCCTCTCCAGCTTATTTCAAAATCCAAATTGGGGTGGGGGCGCTTGCTAAGCAGCTGAAAGGCAAGGGTCAGTGCCTGCTCTGGTCTGAGAGGGCCAAGTACAAGGAAGAGGCAGGCACCGCTTTCTGAATTACTGGGGAGAGTAGGAGTGTGTACTACTCAGGAAAGGCTAATTTCCTCTCAGTGGGCCGGTGACAGCACCAGGGCTGAGCGATGGGGTCTCAGTGGGCCCGCGGCCAGCGGCTAGTGCACCTGATTTCCACTCGAAGCACAGAGGCAGCGGCTCTAGGTGCCCCCTCTGAGAAAGCAAGGCACCAAGTGCCCACCGGCTAGTGCCGCCACCACCTTAGAACGCACGGGTTCTGCACACATCCCGGGCTGACCTACAGGGGAGACGAGGGGCAGAGCTCCTGAGCGCAGGCCCCCGGGACAACCAGCCCCGCTCGTGGCAGGCCTGCAAGGGGACTGGGAGAGCGGAGCGCCAGCCGAACAAGGCTTTCTGCTCCGCGAGGGGTGCTTCTTCCCATAGCTGGTCCGGATTTGGAAAGGTTGTGGGAGTCCTCTGGGGTCGGTCTCTCGGGGGCACTGAGAGGTGATGAGGGTAGGAAAGAGCTACGTGACTTTAGGTCCCTCCAGCGCCATTGCCCACCCGCGGCGGAGGAGCGTCCCACCCCATTCCCCTGCCCAACTGGGGATCCAGAGCGCAGAAGGGCACGGGATTGGATCCCAGCTCCTTCTTTACCCCCGCGAAATTCTCCTCATCCCAGACCCTGACCCTCTCTCAGGCGCCGAGAGCAAAGCACCTGAGTGTTCGTGGGTCCGGGAACTGGGATGGGGAGAGGAGTGCCTGTCCTCCCAAGGCCAATGCAGAGGGAATTCGAGTTCCCTGGAATCAAAGTTGCCGCGCATTTAGCCGCGGGCTCCGAACGGGGCACAGGACCCAGGCCAGTGGCCGGGGATGGAAGAAAGCCCCAGGCGCCTGCCGCGGGCGATGGCCGCGCCCGGAACAAGTGGTTCGGCAGCCGCGGTCACGACCCCGCGGGTCCAACTTTCCCGCCTCGTGGCGGGAGAAAGGCGCGGTGAAGGCGAGGGAAGCGGGGAGGGAAAGCGCGGTGCGCGGCTCTTGGTACCGTGTGCGGAGAAGCGCTGCGCCGCGCCTCGGGCTCTGCTCTCCGCCGGGTCTGCCCCTACGGGCCGCCTGCTCGGGCGCTGGCCACCGCCGCGTCTCGCTGCGGGCGCGAAGGCTCATCAGCCGCAAGTCGGCCGCTCCGGCGTCCCCTTGGGCGGTCCGCTGGCTGCTGGCCGCTTGCTGGATGCAACTTCAAGCGCTCGAGGCGCGCCCCAAACGTCCCGAAGCTCTGTACCCCCGCTCTCCATGCCCGGGGCCTGCGCGCCCCGCCCCTCCAGGCTCAGCGCCCGGCCGCCGTCGGACGCGTCTCCTCGCTGAGCATCGCGCCGGCAGCCCGCGCCCAGTTCTCTGGAGCCGCCGCTGCCGCCGCTCAAGTGCGCGATCAACTTTCCCTCGCTTCCTCCGCCCCGCTCGCCCCCGCCACCCAGACCCCGCCTCCTGACGCTCCCTCCCTCACCTCCCGCC